ACTACTCACATCCACGGTGATTTATTATGTACATGTATGTACGTACACGTACCAGAACGATTAATAGATAATAATAATATTAATAATAATGAGAAGCTTTCTGATTATACATGCCAGTCAATTCTGGAGGTCGGGTTTGAGAAGCCATTGCATCGTGTGTAAATGCAGTGTGTGAAACAGAATAGCAATCCCACCGACTCCTTCGCCTGGATGAAGTCGGCGGGTTTCAAATGTGAAACTGAGGGCTTCCTTTTTGCTGCTCAGGACCAGTCACTTCCCACTCGCAATCACCAAAATGTGATTCTTAAAGAAAATATTAACATGAAATGCCTACTGTGTAATGAATTTACAGAGACGGTCCAACACCTTGTCAGTGGATGCCCTTCCTTGGTACAAACAGCATATCTTAAACGACATGATGGCATGGCTCTTTGCTTTTACTACCGTCTCCGACATGCCTGTTGCTTTAACTCCGAGGTCCATCCATGGTACGACCCTGAACATGTCCGGGGCGTCATGGAAAATGATGCTTTCAAACTTCTTTGGAATAGGCCCATATACAGCCTCAGAAGAATTCCAGCCAAACCTCATCTTGCCCTTTTTGATAAAGCCAATGAATTTATTTATATCATTGAATATTTTGACACCAATGTGATTGGCAAGATTCAGGAAAAGCATGATAAATATGCGGACCTCGCCTTTGAAATGTCTCGCTTGCATCCAAAGTACACTGTCGTCAGACTCCTCATTGTTCTCGGTGCCCTTGGTTTGGTACGTCCTGATCTCTTGACGCAGATCAGGAGAGTGTCCGGGTTCTCCACCGGGAGCACAGCCCTTCTGACACTCTGGGCAATGCAGAAGGCTGCAGTGTTGGGGAGTCTACATATTCTCCGGAAAGTTCTTGGTGGGTTCGACTAGGCAGCGTTTCCTGGGAGAAGTCCCATTCGCTGTCTGGGCTGCGTGTAGAGGGGGCAAGGGCCCTGAGCTGATGATGAGCCTTACCAGTCTGACTGTGCCAGGATCACCCGAACCTTCTTTGCTGCATTTTCATCTTAATCTGTAAAAAATAATAAAGGCCATTTGTTATGAGCTATAATCCACACACTAGTGCATGCTCAAAGCACAGGGGGAAGAGGGAGAGAGTCAGTTATATACAGCGGAGAAAGGGTAAGTCTTAAGTCGTGATTTGAAAGCTGTCAGAGAATCAGATGTGGACTTGCAATGATTTCCATAGTCTTTGGGCTGCATGAAAGAACGATCGGTTACCAAATGAGGAAAGTTGGAAAGTTGGTACAGTAAGTAAGAGCTGGTTCTGAGTCAGTAAGGTAGGATGGGGCTTGGTTGTGGAGGCATTAGTAGACAGTACAGAGAACTTTAAAAGTGATACGTGATTCAATTGGGAGCCAATGAAGATATGTTTTTCAGACTTAAGTATTGTGTGGAATTGATAAGCATCTGGTTGTTTGGCCTTTTTTAGTGAACACTGAGTTCTTATCGAACATGTCATGCATCTTTTATATTACGTGCAACAACATGTCACAATAACTCTAGCATGTACAATATTACCAGCAGATCCTGGTGATGATAGACAAGACTGCTCCGACTATAACACAGGGACTATTTTCCCAGTCTTTAATGCTGGAATCAGTCCAGTAAAGAACCATGTATTTTCCACAAACCATTCACTGTAATCATGCCTGTTTCTGTAAAATGCAAGATGGTCTGTGAATTCATGTTTATTTATGGGTTAGTTCACTTATTCATGAATGTTGTGAATTAATCTCAGTGCATGTATGAGTGAGTTATAAATGAGAGCTGATTGTGTGCGGTGAATTGAATTTGGCATTTATATTCATTCCCACATTCTAATCACGACATTTTCATTTTCACAGTGTAGGAATTCACCAACCAGTGAACATTCAGGCAGTTTTTAACAGATATTGTTTTTGACTTTTTTCGAATGGTGGTAGTTCTCGAGTTGTTGTGACATGGAGTTGCACGAAATATAAAAGATGCATGACATGTTCGAAAACAACTCCATCAACTTCTTGCATTGTACTGAAACAGGCACAAGTAGTGAATGGTTAGTAACAAATACATGGTTCATTTAATCGACTGATTCCAGCATTAAAGGCTGGGGAAATATTCCGTGTGTTATAGTCTTGCTATTATCACCAGTATCTGCTCGTAGTGGTATATATGCTCGAGTTGTTGTGACATGGAATTGCGCGAAATATAAAGGAAAAAAACTCCATCACTGTTCAATTTTAAAAAGGCCAGAAAAGAACCATCTTTATTTATCGTTCTGAAACAAGGTCGACATGCCACTCCTCGGGGATAATAATAACATTAATAATAATAAACTGGACATTTATACAGTGCATCATACCCAGAGATATCCCTGCTAAAGGGCGGTGGAGAGCTATAGGTATGTTCGCAACGTGACTTTGCTGGTCAACGTCAATAGAAACACCTTTTGGCACTTATGGAGACGTTTTCAGCAAAACAATCACCTTACAGACCCCCCCTGTAGTGGCCGCCCCTAGAAACGACGATACAACAGCTGTACGAAGGACGCCAAAGGATGTGATTGAAGGGAACTTGAAAGTTGTGAGAACCCACTCCTTTTCGCAAACGACCGCTTCACCGTTTTAGCAACAGAATGGCCCTAGATTGACGTTTCAACACAACGCAATGCTCTGACGTGTTACCCTGGCTCGCAAGATGCCCTGATGTGTCACCTATTGAACCAAGGCATATATCTCCCCAGTGTATACTCCATTGCCATATAATCGTCGTCTTCGTCTTACATTGTGAAACCGTTTATCTCATTGGCTTAATACGCACATTGTCATCTTTGTACATTAATCCTATCTAATTGTCTCCACATAATGTTGTTATCTTTATCATATATTTCAGGTAAAGCAAAACTATAATCTGAATTATCCATGAATGTTTATTTCCTTTTAAGTGCTATCTTCTGTCACGAAAGGTTTTTGCAAGTGGGTTGGGTTGGGTGAGGGAGGCAAATGTTGGCAATGCGCATTTGAAAGTATGTATGATGTATTTGTCATGTTGGCCGTTGGCCTATTAAAGAAATAAACACGTATCTCTTCCACCTTGAGTTGTGTAAACATGTTTTATCTATATATTTTCACTCTGCGCACTGACTCAGTATTCACCTGACGAAGGAGCAGGAATTAGCTCTTAAACGTCGTGTAAAGAATAAAAAAAGTTGTTGTCCATAAAATCGTGTCATGTATTCAGAATCTTTCCGTACACCAGCATTTCATTCGCGACAGTAAACGTCTAGCGCTGCTTCTGTTAAATTGTGCCTTTGAGAATGATATACAAACGGAAAAAAATGTATCAATATGTTACCATTGTCTCACAGCACTGGAACCCATCCAAACCTCAATTTAACTTCGACATCTGGACAAATTTGTTCTCAAGGACTCATAAATGACAAATCTAAAAGTAAGAAAAGAACGAAGAACCGTGGTTTATTCACATAAACAAATATGGCAAAGTATTTACTCATTTGGCTTTACAAGTGCGGTCATTTTTAAGATTCTGGCAAACAATCCTCAAGAAATCACATATATGGCGATAACTGAACGTAATGCCAATATCTGGTGTATACTCAGCCAAATGCAACAATGTCCTTGACCCTCCGTCTCACTGACTGCGTCAAACGTTGAACTTGAGGTATTACGTTCCATTCTTGATTGAGGGCTTGTTCCAATATACCAAAATTTTGTATTTGAGGAAATGCTGTTGATCATTGGATTGTCTGGTCAAGACTCGATTATTCACTGACTGGAATATTGCTGAGTTCGGCGTAAAACTAAACTCACTCACTCATTGTACTAGAGGATGTCTCTGGCGTATTCTGCGTTGACGTCATTTGTTCGCTGATGTTTTCTTGCTGTTTGGTTATGGGTGATAATTGACATCGCTTCAGTAGTCCTCAGTGACATGCCAGCATTCATTATCTTAATAACTTGATATCTTTAAACAGTTGTCAGTTGAGGAGGCCCCTATTTGCCTATCAACAACGAAATCAGTTCATTTTCCAAGATATCAAGCTTAAAGAACAGTTTACTGAAACTTGATATTTGCTACACTCGTATTTTGATGCTTGAGATACTATAGCACGTGCATATATGAATCAATGTATGGTGCTCACCCAGACTCAATATGATCAGACAAAAATAATTATGATAAGAATATAAACGATTATATACTCATGGAAACAAATAAGGGAACACATGAAAGCAAATCTTTTCCAGGTTTCTTCGCATACTTTGAAATTGCACTGTGGGTGAAAAGCCGGAAAAGCATAAAGGAACGCATGTCCTTTCATGTGTTCCTTTATTTGTTTCCATGAGGATATATGGGGGTCAGTAATCATTGTTGTCACGATACTTTTTTCATATTATATATTGGAATGACCTGCTGAAATATTGATAAATGTCACGTAAAACAACGCTCAATTTTTTGTTATTTTGTCGCGTGGTCAATTTGATTTGCTCCCCATCGAAATGGTGCAGCGAGTAAATGTTGTTTTAAGCCGTATCAGCACTATTGCATATGTTCGAGGCTACCAGATTGTAGATGAAGATCCCTGTCTAAATGATTATGAATACCCCAACCTTCACTATCAACTGTCATCTATATAGTTACCTTGTACAGGTACAATGAGCTCTTTGATGAGCATTTTAGAAGCTGAGGTGATGAAGAATGATGATAATTTTATGGATATACAACTTCTTTCTTCTGTGAATGGCGACTTTTCGACATAGATTCTAATATCACTTGCTTGACAACGACATTATCATCTATGTCGAAACGTCGCCTTCCACAGAATAAAGAAGTTGTATAGCCATAAAGTTGTCATGACCCTTCAGGTAGAGTGAGTGTTTTTCTTGACTTGTCTTATCTGGTACGTGGACCTCTTGTACACCTTTCATTAAACACCGATTTTTAACTAATTTCAGTCCGCCTGTATGCCAACCAGACGGGGAGCCATGGGCTACTTTCTGGCTGGGAAAAGTATGAACTGGCTCACGGTAAGATATTTATCTCCAGCTTGACGTTATCGACGTCACAATTCGTTGCAGAGTTACGCCCCGTGTCTTGGTCTACGGCTAGCAACGATGCAAACAATCTCTGTTCGGAGGTGTCTACATCTAAAGCATACTGGTCGCGACAAATAAACAGATAAATATTGAAATAAATGAGTGAGAGAACGAACGAATGAATGAATGAACGAACGAACGAACGATTGATTGATTGACTGATTGATTGAATCCATCGAACGAAAGAATGAATGCATGAATGAATGAATTATTCATGTACAAACAGACAGAATTGTCTCCCTTTCTAGGTGGGTGCTTCGCTGTTCGCAAGTAACGTGGGAGCGCCAATGTTCATTGGTTTAGCCGGAGCGGCTGCTGCATCCGGGTACTCGGTGGTTGTGTATGAATGGCATGTGAGTATATATGTTCTTGACATGCTTTATAAGGTTTGTAAATATACTTGATTTTTTTTTCAAGATTTGATCGTTATCACCATGTGGTATTAAACTGACAAATGTGACGACAAGTTAGTGTCATATTGACTTGCATGTATGTTTCTGTTGTAGGCGATATATTTACTGATAGCCCTCGGGTGGCTTTTTGTACCAGTGTATGTGGCGAGTGGGGTAAGTATCTTAGTATCAGCTTCCTCTGTACAGTAAACCCTCGTTAGACAGGAAACCCCAACTCCCGACCGAGCTTCATTAAAAGGCTTTGAAATGAGAAAAAGAACCTGTCTTCGTACCCAGACGATGGTTGTGGCACCGTCTGGATTAACGAGGTTTCGCTATGTTTGTAAATACGTAGTATAATAATTCGCCTCGGAACGGATTGAGAATGAACGACTGTGAAATTTAAAATCGGTTAATCTTAAAACATACTTGACACACACTTCACTACATTCATGGGAACGCTTAGATACACAAAATGTATATGCAAAAGAACTTTCTCTTGGTACTGAGGTGATGGCCGTGACACCGTCTTATGGATAAACAGGTTTCGCTGTGTGGATAAATAACGTTATGTGATAGTACGTTCTTGAAAGAATATGTGAACGAGTTTAAAATCGGTTAATTTGCTATGAAAATGAAAGTCACTCGATCCGTCACTCGACCAATTCCCTCGACCCTAATTCTTAACCCATACCTGTTGTAAAACCTGTCTAACGGGATCTGGTGGTCAAACTGTCATGGACGCATCTCATCGTATCCAAATTGTGTCGTACCCGTGAAGATCCGGGTTAGAATTGGTCTTCAGCAACCAATGCTTGACGTAAAAGGCGACTAACTGGATCGGGTGGTCAGGAACATGTCATCGTATCCCAATGGCGTAGATTGATGCTCATGCAGTTGATCACTGGATTGTCTGGTCCAGACTCGACTATTTACAGACCGCCGCCATATACGTGTAGGTTGAATATTAAACAAAAACAAAAACAAACCAAATTGTGTCCAATTGTATCCATTCGATACGCATTATGTCAATCCCTTTTCCGTCTTGTCCAGACTCGAGTTTTTACATTTCGCCGTCATTTAGCTAGAAACTTGCTGAGTGCGGCGTTAAGCAACAAACAAAAACAGTAAATAGTAAAAGTTTGAAAAGGTTAATATGTTAACGAACAACAAGTATACTCAAATCTACAAATAACGTAGTTGAAAAAGGTGTAAGCGTGCTGTATTCTTCTGTTGCAAGTCGTTCACGATGCCGGAGTATCTACACAGGAGGTTTGGGGGACGGCGACTGCGCATCTACCTCTCCGTCCTCGCCCTGCTGCTCTACATCCTGACACGTATCTCGGTGAGGGGGGTGGGTGGTGGGGGCGTTGTGTGCGGCATATTAACCGTGCATGGATCTCAGCGCACATGTTATTGTATATGTTGTCTTCATCATTCATCTGAATGAACATCGTTGTACCTCTTTCACACAACTGACATGTCTAAAGAAGATTTGGGGCAGTGGGTAGCCTAGTGGTTAAAGCGTTCGCTCGTCACGCTGAAGACCCGGGTTCGATTCCCGAACATAGATCGAGTATGAGATATGCATATCAATGTTTTTTCAAGTACATGTACAGTTCTATAGGTATGTCAATCTCCGTTAGAGTGAGTGAGTGAGTTTAGTTCTAGGCCGCTTTAAGCAATATCCCACCGCCTCTACACGTAAGCACTGGCTCGCTATTCTCGAAACGTTCGTAGCCCTACGAACTTCTTAAGCCCATTCTTAACACATTGGCTACGATCAAAGTTACGAATTCTTAGGGCTACGAACGTTTCGAGAATAAGGGCATACGGTCCCGGGATTACGAAAATATACCGTGGTAGTATCACAAACGTATTGCTTTATTTCCTTGAACATGCCACGCTAATTCTTCCATCGTAAATTCCGCAAGCTTTTTTCAGTGATTGGGTAAAGGTTTGGCCAGTTACCGCGGTAGGTTTCCCAGGCTGTACAACAGTTGTGAGCAGAAGTGTAGTGGATGCTTAAATGTGGAATGTTTACATGTTCTCTGTTTCCCCCTAGTCTGAGATCTACACGGGGGCGTTGTTTATACAGCTACTACTCGGATGGAACATGTACTACTGCGTCACCGGTATACTGACAGTAACAGCCTTCTACACCGTCTTAGGTCAGTGCGACATCGACCGCATCACGTTCTTGTTGATCGTAGAGATTTAACGAGCTCTTCTGGGTACTTGAGACTTAAAACGAAATAACTTGAAACAATGCTTGAAACAATTAATATATAATTTAGTATCATTATTATATGAAAATTATATTTTGTTATAATTATCATATGAAATTATATTTATTATTATTTTAAATCATATTTTATCATTATTATGTTAAATTATATTTTGTTATTATTATAATTGAATTAAATTATTTATGATTATATAATCAATATAATAAATTGAAGTTTTGTGACCGGCAATTAAATTATTATATAGATAATGAGTATAAAGTAGTCAGAGCTTAAAGGAGGTCGCGAGACGCCTTTTGGAGGACATGCGGTAGGTATATGAATATGGTGTATGAAAATATTTGTATTTGCAGGAGGGCTGGCAGCAGTGATCTATACGGACACTCTACAAACTGTTGTGCTCCTGATCGGAGCGACCGTGCTTGCAGCTACCAGTAAGTAACAGATACATGGACGTCTTTAGGTAACGTTGTCACAACGTATTTCAACCCATTAACACAACGTTAGGTCGCGTTGTTCTGACAACGCTCATGGTGTCCTGTTGACAACCGTGAACGTTGCCACAACGTATTTCAACATTCTAGTACAGCGTTAGGTCACGTTGTTGTGATAATGCCCATGGTGTTCTGTGGACAACCGTGAACGTTGCCACAACGTATTTCAACCTCCTATTACAACTTTAGGTCACGTCGTTGTTGTAATGCCCATGGTGTTCCGTTGACATGAAGACGTTGCCAATAAACGCATTTCGCTAACACTCTAAAGGTACAGCGTTAGGTCACTGCTGTTGTGATAATGCCCGCCGGTGTTCCGTTGAAACCGTGAACGTTGCCACAACGTATTTCAACATTCTAGTACAGCGTTAGGGTCACGTTGTTGCGATAATGCCCATGGTGTTCCGTTGACAACCGTGAACGTTGCCACAACGTATTTCAACATTCTAGTACAGCGTTAGGTCACGTTGTTGTGATAATGCCTTATGGTGTTCTGTGTTGACAACCGTGAACGTTGCCACAACGTATTTCAACATTCTAGTACAAGCGTTAGGTCAAGTTGTTGTGATAATGCCCATGGTGTTCCGTTGACAACCGTGAACGTTGATTGCCACAACGTATTTCAAACATTCTAGTACAGCGTTAGGTCACGTTGTTGTGATAATGCCCATGGTGTTCTGTTGACAACCGTGAACGTTGCCACAACGTATTTCAACATTCTAGTACAGCGTTAGGTCAAGTTGTTGTGATAATGCCCATGGTGTTCCGTTGACAACCGTGAACGTTGCCACAACGTATTTCAACATTCTAGTACAACGTTAGGTCGCGTTGTTGTTTGGTACAATGCCCATGGTGTTCTGTGGACAACCGTGAACGTTGCCACAACGTATTTCAACATTCTAGTACAGCGTTAGGTCACGTTGTTGTGATAATGCCCATGGTGTTCTGTGGACAACCGTGAACGTTGCCACAACGTATTTCAACATTCTAGTACAGCGTTAGGTCACGTTGTTGTGATAATGCCCATGGTGTTCCGTTGACAACCGTGAACGTTGATTGCCACAACGTATTCCAACATTCTAGTACAGCGTTAGGTCACGTTGTTGTGACAATGCCCATGGTGTTCTGTGGACAACCGTGAACGTTGCCACAACGTATTTCAACATTCTAGTACAGCGTTAGGTCAAGTTGTTGTGATAATGCCCATGGTGTTCCGTTGACAACCGTGAACGTTGCAATTGCCACAACGTATTTCAACATTCTAGTACAACGTTAGGTCGCGTTGTTCTGACAATGCCCATGGTGTTCTGTGGACAACCGTGAACGTTGCCACAACGTATTTCAACATTCTAGTACAGCGTTAGGTCACGTTGTTGTGATAATGCCCATGGTGTTCCGTTGACAACCGTGAACGTTGCCACAACGTATTTCAACATTCTAGTACAGCGTTAGGTCACGTTGTTGTGATAATGCCCATGGTGTTCCGTTGACAACCGTGAACGTTGCCACAACGTATTTCAACATTCTAGTACAGCGTTAGGTCACGTTGTTGTGATAATGCCCATGGTGTTCTGTGGACAACCGTGAACGTTGCCACAACGTATTTCAACATTCTAGTACAGCGTTAGGTCACATTGTTGTGACAATGCCCATGGTGTTCTGTGGACAACCGTGAACGTTGCCACAACGTATATCAACATTCTAGTACAGCGTTAGGTCACGTTGTTGTGATAATGCCCATGGTGTTCCGTTGACAACCGTGAACGTTGCCACAACGTATTTCAACATTCTAGTACAGCGTTAGGTCACGTTGTTGTGATAATGCCCATGGTGTTCCGTTGACAACCGTGAACGTTGCCACAACGTATTTCAACATCTCTAGTACAGCGTTAGGTCACGTTGTTGTGATAATGCGCCATGGTGTTCTGTGGATCAACCGTGAACGTTGCCACAACGTATTTCAACATTCTAGTACAGCGTTAGGTCAAGTTGTTGTGATAATGCCCATGGTGTTCCGTTGACAACCGTGAACGTTGCCACAACGTATTTCAACATTCTAGTACAGCGTTAGGTCACGTTGTTGTAATAATGCCCATGGTGTTCTGTGGACAACCGTGAACGTTGCCACAACGTATTTCAACATTCTAGTACAGCGTTAGGTCAAGTTGTTGTGATAATGCCCATGGTGTTCCGTTGACAACCGTGAACGTTGATTGCCACAACGTATTTCAACATTCTAGTACAGCGTTAGGTCACGTTGTTGTGACAATGCCCATGGTGTTCTGTGGACAACCGTGAACGTTGCCACAACGTATTTCAACATTCTAGTACAGCGTTAGGTCAAGTTGTTGTGATAATGCCCATGGTGTTCCGTTGACAACCGTGAACGTTGCCACAACGTATTTCAACATTCTAGTACAGCGTTAGGTCGCGTTGTTCTGACAATGCCCATGGTGTTCTGACAATGCCCATGGACAACCGTGAACGTTGCCACAACGTATTTCAACATTCTAGTAGTACAGCGTTAGGTCACGTTGTTGTGACAATGCCCATGGTGTTCTGTGGACAACCGTGAACGTTGCCACAACGTATTTCAACATTCTAGTACAGCGTTAGGTCACGTTGTTGTGATAATGCCCATGGTGTTCCGTTGACAACCGTGAACGTTGATTGCCACAACGTATTCCAACATTCTAGTACAGCGTTAGGTCACGTTGTTGTGACAATGCCCATGGTGTTCTGTGGACAACCGTGAACGTTGCCACAACGTATTTCAACATTCTAGTACAGCGTTAGGTCAAGTTGTTGTGATAATGCCCATGGTGTTCCGTTGACAACCGTGAACGTTGCCACAACGTATTTCAACATTCTAGTACAGCGTTAGGTCGCGTTGTTCTGACAATGCCCATGGTGTTCTGTGGACAACCGTGAACGTTGCCACAACGTATTTCAACATTCTAGTACAGCGTTAGGTCACGTTGTTGTGATAATGCCCATGGTGTTCTGTGGACAACCGTGAACGTTGCCACAACGTATTTCAACATTCTAGTACAGCGTTAGGTCAAGTTGTTGTGATAATGCCCATGGTGTTCCGTTGACAACCGTGAACGTTGCCACAACGTATTTCAACATTCTAGTACAGCGTTAGGTCACGTTGTTGTGATAATGCCCATGGTGTTCTGTGGACAACCGTGAACGTTGCCACAACGTATTTCAACATTCTAGTACAGCGTTAGGACAAGTTGTTGTGATAATGCCCATGGTGTTCCGTTGACAAATCGTGAACGTTGATTGCCACAACGTATTTCAACATTCCTAGTACAGCGTTAGGTCACGTTGTTGTGACAATGCCCATGGTGTTCTGTGGACAACCGTGAACGTTGCCACAACGTATTTCAACATTCTAGTACAGCGTTAGGTCAAGTTGTTGTGATAATGCCCATGGTGTTCCGTTGACAACCGTGAACGTTGCCACAACGTATTTCAACATTCTAGTACAACGTTAGGTCGCGTTGTTCTGACAATGCCCATGGTGTTCTGTGGACAACCGTGAACGCTAAGCACAACGTATTTCAACATTCTAGTACAGCGTTAGGTCACGTTGTTGTGATAATGCCCATGGTGTTCTGTTGACAACCGTGAACGTTGCCACAACGTATTTCAACATTCTAGTACAGCGTTAGGTCACGTTGTTGTGATAATGCCCATGGTGTTCCGTTGACAACCGTGAACGTTGCCACAACGTATTTCAACATTCTAGTACAGCGTTAGGTCACGTTGTTGTGATAGTATTTCAACATTCTAGTACAGCGTTAGGTCATGTTGTTGTGATAATGCCCATGGTGTTCCGTTGACAACCGTGAACGTTGCCACAACGTATTTCAACATTCTAGTACAACGTTAGGTCGCGTTGTTGTGATAATGCTCATGGTGTTCTGTGGACAACCGTGAACGTTGCCACAACGTATTTCAACATTCTAGTACAGCGTTAGGTCACGTTGTTGTGACAATGCCCATGGTGTTCTGTGGACAACCGTGAACGTTGCCACAACGTATTTCAACCTCCTATTACAACTTTAGGTCACGTCGTTTTGGTGTTCTGTTGACAAACAATTACGTCGTCACGACACTTATAAACGTTGCATGGACGTGATAATCTTGTCACTCGCCTAAAATACAACGTTGAACAATCGTAACTACAGGGGGCGGTGGGGTAGCCTAGTGGTTAAAGCGTTCGCCGAAGACCCGGGTTCGTTTCCACACATGGGTACAATGTGTGAAGCCAATTCCTTTTTTAAATATTTTTTTTATCACTTTATTTCTTTTTGATCTGGGTACAGCATATCATGCACATTTAACAAGTCAGCATTTTTGTTGCTATATATAGGAGTCAAATTACAAAGTCATTATCTATGTAAATAGATTGTGGCAAGACGACCAAAATGTAACAAAAGTGTCGTATTTGCAGTGAGAGTATGCATTAAATTTGTGTAAGTGGTAAATGTAATTCAATTCTGGTTTCAGACCAGCGAGAGAAGGTACAATGTTTGCTAACTTTCTAGAATATATGTACTCTTTAGTTAATATGAAAATAAAATTCAGTACATCATTTCTTCTCTCTTTGAATCCGAGAATAATGGTTTCTGCGTTTAATTTCAAATGGGTGTCTGTTTCATTTTCAATCCATTCTAGTAGATCTTGCCACAGCTTTTTGACATGTTTGCATTCATATAATAAATGAATGATAGATTCTATTTCAACATCGCAAAATGTTCATAGTGGTGATTCTGTTAGCTTGTATTTATATAAATCTTTATTGGTGAAGCCAGGAAGCCAATTCCTGGTGTGAAACCCGTATTGGTGGAATATTGCTAAAACTAAACTCGTAACAACAACGTCCCAATAACGTGTGACGACGTTAAATGGAGTCCAGGGAATAACGCCTGGTGTACGTCAAAATATCGTGACGTGGTGACAGCGACAACGTTGTAAAGACGTCACCTGGGCAGACTCATATACTGTTTCTCTAACCAGAGTGAGTGAATGAGGTCGATATAACGCCGCTTTCGGCAGTATTCCAACATGTAACACGTGGTCCGGTTATACGGATTGAATTATATATAAACAGTCAATACAAAAGAATAACCAGACCGAATTCAGAAAGAATCGGTTCTGCGGAAAGAGTTAAAAAAATGTGTAAAAAGGCATTGAAATTTTATGACTGTAGTACAATGTACCACGAACTGATGCAGGTGGAAACCCATGGGCACGGATGTTGAGAGTCGACGGAGTAAAGTGTCGGTGAAACGTCAAAAACTTTCGATCTAACGTTTAATACTTGTTTTTTCTGTAATAATAAATAGAAACATTAAGTGAAGGAATTCTCTTCTGTACAACAATACATATGTAAATGGTTACTTTTTATATCATATACAAATATTACAAATTGAATGCAAACATCTTTACCAAATTTACTGAATCGACATTTAAGAATATTGATCATCATCTTTTATACTTTTGTGTCTTTGTCAAGCTATGCTTGATGTTGACATGTTTGATTGTGATATCCGTTTGGATGAAAGTGAAAGTGAAACTGGCTGATCATATTCAAACTAAACCTTTCGATGATATTACGTTACCGGTATTCAATGTAACATTTATCGTTTTTAACGTCAGGCTTCACTAAAGTTGGTGGATTTGAGGGCTTGCACGAGAAGTACCAGTTGGCAGCGGCAGAGTATACGTTTTCCAATACATCCCTGTATTCATGTGGACTTCCCCGGAACGACTCATTCCAAATATGGCGCGACCCTGTCACAGGAGATATCCCCTGGCCAGGGGCCCTGACAGGATTGAGCATCCTTGGACTGTGGGTGTGGTGCAGTGACCAGGTGACTTCACGCAAAACAGCGTCTCATCACGTCTCACGATTAGTACTATTGATGTTCATGTTAAGTGTTTCACATTTTAGAAGAAACAGTTAAACGTTTTTATGGATTTATATACTTATATGCAAAAGAAAGTATACACCCCTGTCTCATGGTGGTCCAACGCTGATGGCGATGTTTTTTATACGGTTATCATTAGTTGTGACCTTGCGTTTAGTGCAGTTTTTCAGGGAATGTTTTCAGCTAAGTAAAGTATTTTGGTGTGAAACATTGCTTTATGTGATTAATCATACTTTCACGTCAATACAAGAATAGAGCATAGGATTAGACATGCTTAAATAGAGAAACAAATTTGTCACATGAGCACTTGTTGTTTTGTGCATATCGTACAGATCATGAAACAGATAGATGTCTCTTTTATTGACCAATACGTTGCCGGTTTGGAACTATCTACTTTGAGTTATGCAATACTCATGTGTCTCAGATCATCGTCCAGAGGTCGCTGTCAGCTAAGAATATGGACCACGCCAAGGGAGGTTCCCTGTTTGCTGCTGTCCTTAAAATCGCCCCGTTCTTCTTGTGGATCCTTCCTGGCATGATTAGCAGGGTGCTCTTCCCAGGTATATGTACCACTAGATAGTGTATGTACCGCTGTTCCCCAATATAGTGTGCAGTTACATGTACCGTTGGCACCCTAGATAGTGTACAGATACATGTACCACTGTTCTCCTAGATAGTGTATGTACCGCTGTTCTCCTAGATAGTGTATGTACCGCTGTTCTCCTAGATAGTGTATGTACCGCTGTTCTCCTAGATAGTGTATGTACCGCTGTTCTCCTAGATAGTGTACAGATACATGTACCACTAGAAACAGATACTAGAAACTAGAACCGCTGTTCCCCAAGATAGTGTGCAGGTACACGTACCAGTGTTCCCCTAGATAGTGTACAGGTACATGTACCACTGTTCTCTTAGATAGTGTGCAGGTTCATGTACCACTGTTCCCTTAGATAGTGTGCAGGTACATGTACCACTGTTCCCCTAGATAGTGTCATGTACCACTGTTCCCTCAGATAGTGTGCAGGTACATTTACCAGGTACATGTGTTCCCCTAGATAGTGTACAGGTACATGTACCGCTGTTCCCCTAGATAGTGTGCAGGTACATGTTCCACTGTTCCCCAAGATAGATACAGGTACATTTACCAACCGGTAACTTGGATATACCCACTAGTAGTGTACGGGTCAGATAGTGTACAGGTACATGTACCACTGTTCCCCCTGTAGATACCGTGTGCCCCTAGATAGTGTACAGGTGTACCACTGTTACCCTAGATAGAGGTACATACCACTGTTACCCTAGATAGAATACATGTACATTTACCACTGTTCTCCTAGATAGTGTGCATCTACTTCTACCGGTTTAACTTGGTTAGTGTAAAGGAATACCTACCGGTTTTACTTGGATAGTGTACAGGAATACCTACCGGTTTTACTTGGATAGTGTACAGGAATACCTACCGCTTTTCCCTAGAGAGGGTGAGTGTGCAGGGTAGTCAGCTACATGTACCCCACGATTGAGTGAATGTTCTTCGCTCTCGCCGACAAAATGATAACATAATCCTATATTGCAGATGAAGTTGCGTGTGCATCCCCAGAAGCATGTTACGCTGTGTGTCAGAACAGGGCTGGGTGCAGCAACATTGCCTACCCTCTATTGGTTCTCAGGATACTGCCAGAAGGTAGGTTGTGTCAGAACAGGTTGGGGTGCAGCAACGTAGCAACATTGCCTGGTGCAGCAACATTGCCTACCCTCTACTGGTGCTCCGGATACTGCCAGAAGGTAGGTTGTGTCAGAACAGGGTTGTGTGCAGCAACATTGCCTACCCTCTACTGGTGCTCCGGATACTGCCAGAAGGTAGGTTGTGTCAGAACAGGGTTGTGTGCAGCAACATTGCCTACCCTCTACTGGTGCTCCGGATACTACCAGAAGGTAGGTTGTGTCAGAACAGGGTTGTGTGCAGCAACATTGCCTACCCTCTACTGGTGCTCCGGATACTGCCAGAAGGTAGGTTGTGTCAGAACAGGGTTGTGTGCAGCAACATTGCCTACCCTCTACTGGTGCTCCGGATACTACCAGATGGTAGGTTGTGTCAGAACAGGGTTGTGTGCAGCAACATTGCCTCACCCTCCACTGGTGCTCCGGATACTACCAGAAGGTAGGTTGTGTCAGAACAGGGTTGTGTGCAGCAACATTGCCTCTACCCCGGATACTCTACTGGTGCTCCGGATACTACCAGATGGTAGGTTGTGTCAGAACAGGATTGTGTGCAGCATCATTGCCTCCCCTCTACTGCTGCTCCGGATACTACCAGATGGTAGGCTGTGTCAGAACAGGGTTGTGTGCAGCAACATTGCCTACCCCTCTACTGGTGCTCAGGATACTACCAGATGGTAGGTTGTGTCAGAACAGGGTTGTGTGCAGCAACATTGCCTCCCCTCTACTGGTGCTCAGGATACTACCAGATGGTAGGTTGTGTCAGAACAGGGTTGTGTGCAGCAACATTGCCTAGGTGGTGCTCAGGATACTACCAGAAGGTAGGTTGTGTCAGAACAGGGTTGTGCAGCAACATTGCCTCCCCTCTACTGGTGCTCAGGATACTACCAGATGGTAGGTTGTGTCGAAAACAGGGTTGTGTGCAGCAACATTGCCTCCCCTCTACTGGTTCTCCGATATACCGTCAGAACAGAAGGTAGGTTGTGTCAGAACAGGGTTGTGTGCAGCAACATTGCCTACCCTCTACTGGTGCTCCGGATACTGCCAGAAGGTAGGTTGTGTCAGAACAGGGTTGTGCAGCAACAGCAACATTGCCTACCCTCTCTACTGGTGCTCCGGATACTACCAGATGGTAGGCTGTGTCAGAACAGGGTTGTGTGCAGCAACATTGTCTACCCTCTACTGGTGCCCTGGATACTACCAGAACGTAGGTTGTGTCAGAACAGGGTTGTGTGCAGCAACATTGCCTACCCTCTACTGGTGCTCCGGATACTACCAGATGGTAGGTTGTGTCAGAACAGGGTTGTGTGCAGCAACATTGCCTACCCCTCTACTGGTGCTCCCGGATACCGCCAGAAGGTAGGTTGTGTCAGAACAGGGTTGTGTGCAGCAACATTGCCTACCCTCTACTGGTGCTCCGGATACTACCAGATGGTAGGTTGTGTCAGAACAGGGTTGTGTGCAGCAACATTGCCTACCCTCTACTGGTGCTCCGGATACTACCAGAAGGTAGGTTGTGTCAGAACAGGGTTGTGTGCAGCAACATTGCCTTCCCTCTACTGGTGCTCAGGATACTACCAGAAGGTAGGTTGTGTCAGAACAGGGTTGTGTGCAGCAACATTGTCTACCCTCTACTGGTGCTCCGGATACTGCCAGAAGGTAGGTTGTGTCAGAACAGGGTTGTGTGCAGCAACATTGCCTACCCTCTACTGGTGCTCCGGATACTGCCAGATGGTAGGTTGTGTCAGAACAGGGTTGTGTGCAGCAACATTGCCTACCCTCTACTGGTGCTCCGGATACTACCAGATGGTAGGTTGTGTCAGAACAGGGTTGTGTGCAGCAACATTGCCTACCCTCTACTGGTGCTCCGGATACTACCAGAAGGTAGGTTGTGTCAGAACAGGGCGGGGTGCAGCAACATTGCCTACCCTCTACTGGTGCTCAGGATACTACCAGAAGGTAGGTTGTGTCAGAACAGGGCGGTGTGCAGCAACATTGCCTACCCTCTACTGGTGCTCCGGATACTGCCAGAAGGTAGGTTGTGTCAGAACAGGGCGGGCTGCAGCAACATTGTCTACCCTCTACTGGTGCTCAGGATACTGCCAGAAGGTAGTTTGTGTCAGAACAGGGCGGGCTGCAGCAACATTGTCTACCCTCTACTGGTGCTCCGGATACTGGCAGAAGGTAGGTTGTGTCAGAACAGGGCGGGGTGCAGCAACATTGTCTACCTCTACTGGTGCTCCGGATACTGCCAGAAGGTAGGTTGTGTCAGAACAGGGTTGTGTGCAGCAACTTTGCCTTCCCTCTACTGGTGCTCAGGATACTGCCAGAATCTAGGTATCTGACAAGCAAGTTACTCCATAGGTGAAACTGCTTACAAGTCCGATTAGTGTTGTTTCATAGGAAACTACTAATAGCATGTAGTATGAAATCCTTCTGGCTGACATCATTGATGCCATGACACAGACAGAGGTGAGTCAAGTGTGTCTCACCTTCTGATTTATTCACCAGGGTTGCGAGGACTGATGCTGGCTGCGGCTCTGGCTGCCCAGATGAGCACGTTGACGTCCATCTTCAACAGCGCCAGCAGTATGTTCACGATAGACATCTGGCCGTATCTGAGGAAGAACCCGTCCAATAATGAACTAATGCTGGTTGGACGTCTGACAGTGATTGTCATGACAGGGTTTGGGATTCTCTGGTTACCCATACTGCAACAGTCTCAGGGGGGACAACTCTGGGCTTACCTTCAAGCGACAGCCGCTTACACTGCACCTCCATGGACCATGGTGTTTCTACTGGGCATGTTCTGGAAGAGAACAACAGAGCCGGTTTGTTTCAGTCTACTTGTTCTCTCAGTAATGGTCGGGAATGAATTCAATACATGTTGAGTATTTGGTAATCTCTAAATCGTCATTCATGAGTCTTAGCCGAATGTCACCCTGTGCATTGCATCTTGTGTCATTAATGTTTTGTTGTGATGTACAATACAAGTCATATTGAATAACAAGTCATTGTCGAGCCCATATCTTTCTGAGTCAGAGGTGTTTGGCTAATATTTTGCTCTACGTCATCTGATGCCATGAACGTTGGATGTGTTGTGTTGCACATGGCGTCTTGTGGCCTGACTGCTGGGTGGATTTTGTGCAAGGACGTTATCCAAAGACAATCCAATTTAAAACATGGGTGCATTAACCTCCGCTTAGTAATAACGGAGACTAAGAAGAAGAATTTACGAGAAAGTCATCAGTGTTTCGCTAAACTTAAACATGTTGTTTGCAACAGTGTTGTTCAAAATGATATCTGATACCTCCTCACAGGGTGCCTTCTGGGGTCTGATGGTTGGACTAGCGGTTGGTCTGCCTCGGCTGTGTCTGGAGTTCATCTTCCCTGCGCCGCTCTGTGGAAGTGGGGAAGCAGACGATAGACCTGCCATCTTGAAAGATGTCCACTTTCTGTACTTCGCCCTGATTCTGGCGGCTGTGTCATCCTTTGTCATCGTCATCGTCAGTCTCAAAACTGAGCCAAGATCCCCGGAAAAGGTTATAGAATGTTCCGACCCAATCCTATCTGATCAGAAATGATGCCACTTTTGCCCAGTTCCAAACCCTATGCCAAAGAAACGATTTTGATACCAAATTGTGTCAAGTGTCAAATTTGTCCAAAAAATGATTGAATCGTACATACGATAGCAGTGATGAGTGAAAAAGAGTCGTGTCGGGTTTGGACACCTTAACCGAGTCCAGGCTGGGGACAATTTATGGGTATTTTTCGGGTTCATTGTCGGGAAGTGGTTTCACACACCTTTGCGAGCGCAAAGGGATTGTATACGTTACTGGAATGTGGGCGTGGTTTGGACAAGTAGTCCAGGGTGACGTGAGTGAGTCACCGCGATTAGTGGATCCGGAAAAGTGCAAATCCTGGAGGTAATGGCATCGCCCGTCTTTACGTTGTAAGCATGGGCGTGAGTTTTCTAACTTTGCATAAGATCTACAACAATGTTTCTGTATGTATTCTGCATTTTGAAAGTGCATTGGCGTCTGAATGAATGAGCTGTTTAAACTCTACACGGAAATATGTGCCCGAAAACTGTGTTGTTTTATGATTCCATCAGTTTGACGACATCAACATCATGTGTTGCAGCTACGTCGTGTGACGTGGTGGACGAGACATGAGGAGGACCCGGAGTTGTCGGAAGATGAGGAAACGCCGGACACCGACGAAAGTACTGTAATGAAGATAGAAGAACCTGTTGAAACCGACGTCGAAGAGAAAATGGCTTTTAAACCGGGGACAGATGAGGAATTTAGTCAAAGAGTCGCCAAGCGGAACAATGGTAAGACATGTGTGTGGTGTCATATGAAGAACTTTCGGGTGTTCATGTTACACGACAGTGAGTGAGTGAGTTTAGTTTTACGCCGCTTTTAGCAATATTTCAGCAATATCACGGCGGGGGACACCAGAAAGGGCTTCACACATTGTACCCATGTGGGGAATCGAACCCAGGTTTGCGGCGTGACGAGCGAACGCCTTAACCACTAGACTACACCACCACCACCACCGAGTGGATTTAATACGATAAAGAAATGACGTCCAAACCCTTGACTTCCCTTTGCATGTGTTTGGGACGGATGCTGACCTTTTCGCGAATCGTCACTATTTGATATTCATAAACACATTCTTTTGATAATCAGAATCTTAAAATGGACTATTCAAAATTAAAATCATATTACGGGTCTTACTGTTTGCTTATATTCAAAGTAAATACCACTTTCTGACAGGACAGAATCGTTTAATCTCCATATCATAATTCGAGTATATTTTAACGGAACTTAGTGAGTTTTCAGTTATTTTATGTGTTTTCATTCATTGCAAATATAATTTTTAGTATATTGTTTTAAGTTATTTAGTCCAATTGCGCCATGTATGTGTGAGTATGGTTTTACGCCTCAATAAGTGAGGTGAGGTGAGGTGAGGTGAGGTGAGGTGAGGTGAGGTGAGGTGAGGTGAAATTGGGTTTAACGTCGTGCTTGAGAATATTTCGCTCATATGACGACGTGCATGCGTGTGTATGTGTATGTGCGGCTGCTTGTACTAGCCCAGACTGAAGCTGGTTTTATAGTGCTAGCCCACTGAGATATTATGCCGCAGTGAAGCATGAATACCCCACTCAGACACATTATACTGACTACGAGGCCGACCAGTCCTTGTTGTACCCATTAATGCCGAGCTCCAGGCGGGGATCAACAAGTACCATATTGTAACGTCTTTTGGTATGACGCGGTCGGGGATCGAACCCGCGACCTTCCGCTCTCCCGGTGGACGCTCTAACCACTACACCACGGAGGCGGTCGCCTCAATAGGTGATCAATAAGACCGATACGAATAAGTATGCATAAGTAAGTATATTTAGCTCGGTGTATAATGTGTCTGAGCGGGGTATTCCATTGTACCTCAGTGGGATAGCACCAGCGCAAGTCTGGATAAGCACAGGCAGACTCTCACACACATATTGAAGTGCAATTATCTTGAAGGTGTCGTTACACCCCAGTTCCATTCATCCATTTAACATTTTACCGCTAGGATGATATCCCCGGACACGACGAATAGACCAATGGAATTCATTGGGATCAAACTGGGACTCGAACACACAAGTAGATATTGGGAACAAAGAGGCCTTATTCCGCACTAGAAGTTTGAAGAATTACACATTGGTCATTTCCGTAATATGATTCACGAAACTTATGCGTATTACCGTTCATTTGCAGGATGCTGCAGAAAAGTCGTTAGCTGGTTATGTGGGTTTCAACAAGTATCCCAAACAAACATGACCAAGGAGGAGAGACGAGCGCAACGGAAACTACTAACCAGTCTTGATGAGACTGATAACGCCAAGCAGCTGCTCAACGCGGGCGCCATCTTGCTGGCGACACTGACGGCGTTTCTTCTCGGCTACTTCAACTCGCAATGACACATTCGTCACAGACCCTCCTTCAGAAACACGTATTCCTCTTGATCATGATAAATATCACACACAGGCTTGTGTACTGGCCGGGATCGGGTGGTCAGGCTCACTGACTTGTTTGACACGTGTCATCGGTTCCCAATTGCGCAGATCGATGCTCATGCTGTTGATCACTGGATTGTCTGGTCCAGACTCGACTATTTACAGACCGCCGCCATATAGCTGGAATATTGCTGAGTGCGGCGTAAAACTAAACTCACTCACTCACTAATTGTGTACTGGCTCGTTCGTCAAACCCTGATGTGAGATAGCCAATTCCAAGAAACATTTTGTAAAATTCGTTGGAGGTACGAGATCAGGACAGTACTTGGCCTGAATAACTATTAAACTAACTAGTGTGTTGCCTTCCAAAGGTGAAGGAACAGCACAGAATTTACGAAAATCCGGACCAAAAGATGCCGGCTTAGAATCATGTGTGCCCAGTTATGTATGATGGTCGTTGGAGGAGACTCGAAAGTCACGTGGTCAGGATGGTTGTTTGGTTGTCATCGTACTCCTGTGTCGGGTTTGTTTGATCCAGACTCGAATTTATATACTCTTCTTCATGAAAGAGATTGCTGATTGCGCATATGACAATTTATCATTTTGAGCATTACAGAGTGACATACAGGTTCGAACCCAAGATCCATCCTAAAATTGTATCATAGATTATCAGCACCAAACCGTGTTCGTCACCTCGAACTTTCTTCCCATATCGTTGCATTGGGTGGGGTAACCTAGTGGTTAAAGTGTTCACACGTCAGCCGAAAACCCGGGTTCGACTCCCCACATGGGTGCAATGTGTGAAGCCCATTTCTGGTGTCCCTCACCGTGACATTGCTGGAATATTGCTAAAAGCGGCGTTAAACTAAACTCATTGACCCACTCCCATATCATTGTCACACGTCATAGAAGAACTGAATGATAGTGGCGTCAAAATAGATTACCATCGTTTTCATGACAGGAACGTCCATTATTTGGTACGTTAGAATGACTATTGGCGTCATCAAGCTGTAGTTCACTGTAACTCATTGGTATGCTGGTGCCCTTACTGTTGTCTTTGTTCATGGTTTTCAATCGTTCATGTGTATCACGTACCTGTGTTCTGCACAGAATATTTTTCGCTACGATGTACCCTCATTCGATTACATACACGTAAACTATAGCTAGAAGCATCCGTGTTGATTCACGACAGATATTTGTTTGCAACCATAGGAGTTTAATACTCTCCTGAAGCACATTTGTGTTTCCCACCTAAAATATGTTTGTCTCAATTGAGCCACGTGCGTACAAATTTCCTGTATGATAGATAGACTGTAATTAAACACCCGTTCTCTCCAGGACAAAAGGCAAATTCTACCATTGTTTAAATAAAGTCATTCAGAGGTATATAATCACGTTAAATACCTCTGATTAATCACGTTATATACCTCTGATTAATCACGTTATATAACTCTGATTTTCCTACACAGTATGTCTTTTTTTTAAATCTTAATAACGCGGTTATGGTAGAATGGAGATAGATAGCTCTAAATGTTTTATTTAAAACCTCACGCTACGCATTCGCTTTTAAATCGAATTTAGAGCAATAATAATTCCGTAATACACCTCTGATTTTCCAACACAGTATGTTTATCTCCCAATTAAACACTTTGATATTGGATTTGACCAAATACGTTAATTTGGAATTTAAATTCAAAACGTTACTGGCTGAGAACGTACTCGAAAGACTGCAAACCTAAGGCCATAATCACAACCATTTGTACCTGCATCAACTAAACATTTCTTGATCGTTTCATTTGTCACCACCGTCAACATAGATGTATATACAGTCTTTTGTCCGTTAGTATGTTATCGTTTAGATGACAGTAATGAGCGATAGTTTGACCTGTGTTCTATTAAGACTGATTGACAGATGAGTTCGGAAATGAAGTGAATAATTCTAGGGAATTATCATAACCGCATATCATATCTTGTATAATCCGACCCGTGAGGATCCGGGTTAGAACTGGCTTTTCGGTAACCCTTGTCGTAAGAGGCGACTAACGGCATCGGGGATATCAAGCTTGCTTACCTGGTTCATCCATCTCATTGTAACTCAAAAGTAGGGATCGATGCTCATGCTGTTGATCACTGGATTGTCTGGTCCAGACTCCATTGGTCCAGACCGCCGCCATATAGCTGGAATATTGCTGAGTGCGGCGTGAAACAACAAGCTATATGATCGAGGATTGTTATATATAAATGACACGCCTATATATTGGTAATCGTATTTGTAAAACACCGTTTCCTATCATCAAAGAATTAAGGGAAGGGTATTGAGAGTAGCATGCGCATCACAGAACTCCGTGGCCTCTTTTGTTGTTGAGGAACATTATATTGTACACACCTGGGTGCGAACTGTCTGTACTATACTACCCACCAAAAGTTTAGACTCACTTAAAGCACTCACTATATGGGATGTATATATGTATGGTTACATATGCGGATGAATTGCACGAGGATCATGCATCAAATTGCTGTAAAGCATGTGCATGTGAACAGCTGCGTTTTGGTGTAAAGTTTTGTTACGAATTTTCACTGAGTTTCATCATTTATTGAACTCATGACAATAATCTTTTCAACGTTACAAATGTGTTTTACAATACATCAGTTCATGTGTAAACAGTACCTTTAAACAGCAAAATAAACGCAAGTCTGGCTTTTTGTCAAGTTTGTGAATAGAAGACAACCAAAATCATGTCCCATCATTTATTCTATAGACAACACTGTCAACTTAACAGCTGAAAGTTGCTGTTGACATTGAATTGCAATAAGTTCTTATTGATCAAGTCCGTCAAATGGAGATACCCCTGAACGCGAAAAGTGACAGTCTCTTTAGTCGCGTGTATGGCCACCTTGAGCTTGCACACAGGCCGTGCAACGTGGCCTCATTGAGTTCATTAGAGTCTGAAAGAATGCCTGAGTCAATTGGTTCCGCTCAAACACCAATCTCTATTCCAATTGTGCAAGTGTGAGTGGCTGTCTACCTGCACCAGTCCTCCGTCCAATTTCGTCCCACAATGTTCAATGGGAGCCATATACGGGGAAAGAGATGGCCATGGAAAAACGTTAATGTTGTTTTGAGCCAGATAATCCATCGACACCCCTGCAGTGGGAGGGATGCAAACGTCGCTGGCGTTGTTGGCGTGTCAAAATTGGCCCCACATATGGCCATCGGCAGTGGATTCCAGCAGCCCGAAGACGACGCCTAATCGTATCGCTGGACACTGCTCCCCTTGACCCATGAACTAAGGCGGCTGTTACTGTTGGTGCTTGAGTTCGGTTCCTTAGATGAGTGATCCGGATGAACCGATCTTGCGCATGAGATGTCACTCGTTGCCGTCTGGTACGGGGACGATCAGCAGCAACCCCGGTTTGCTGATGACGTTGGGCAAGTCGTGTAATGGTGGTAAGATGACAGCCCAATTGTCTAGCTACAGCGGTTGCAGAGCTACCTCCGTGCAACTTTCCAATGGCCATTCCTCTCTGCTCAGTCGTTAGTCTAGGCATCGTTTGTGTGGCGTGTACATCTCCTAGTATCAATACTGAACTGTTTCTTGACACAAACCTTTATAAAGGTTACCTCAGAGTGAAATGCATGCTATTCATCCAGAACCGTCGATGCACGTGCTAAAATTATGGTTTTACTGCACTGTTGGTGTGTTTGTGCGAATGGTTCGTATTGACGTCAAATTGCATGACATCATCTCATCTTGGATCATTACGTCACTTTACCATGAACGTTCCATAAACATGAACGCTTACCTTCATGAGATCTCATTTTTCGAAACATGCGTTTCTTTTGCTGTTCAGTATAGTTTAGAACAGTCGACTGAAGAACGTGGTTACATTTACACTAGTGAGTCTAAAGTTTTGATGGGTAGTATAATATTAATTTGGATAGATGTATACATATATCGAATAACCTCTGCTTTGTGTTACGGATTAAAAACCTTAAGTAATCACTTCCATTTCTGAAACATGAAATACTCATTCATTAAAAAAGCAGTAGGTTCAGATGACAGAGTGTTAAAATGATTTAAAACCAAAGAAACAAATCTGTCTAAGCCATTCGAGAGCCTGTCCAGATTACATCATATTTTTCAGATGACGAGACAAAATCTAAAACACAGACCCATACATGATATTGGGACCCAAAACTGTTTCTAAGGAAAATATATATCATCAACCTCAAGGCAGCACTTCTGAGTTTATGTCTTATGTTGTTTTGCCCAGGGCATCTAATTAGATAATGTTCGATATTTTCAGGCGTCTCCAAATTGCCAAGATAATTGCTTCATTGTCATGTTCATCTACCCATCTCAATGCTTGCAAAATGGACAAAGTTCAGCTGCAAAAACAGAAAGATAACCAGGGAATCTGAACACCTTAGCGATCGATAAATTGGGTATCCAAAAAGCCCAGCAGTGCAATCATTGGATGGTTCTTTCGATGCATCAGTGTATATATGTGTGAAATTAAAATAATTTTCAGACAGAAAGTCTTGAGTTATCACTTTTATTATCTTTTGGTCCATTCTCTTATTCACGATTAACTGAGTTCAGAATTCAATCCCGGCTTCAGCAGAAGCCACGGAGGTGTGACAGGCGGAGCAGAAGGATCAACTGGGTTACAGTTGTAAAGACCATGTTGATCAGCTAATCTCTGTATATTCAAGCCAAAGGGTAATTTGCCATGAGTCACACATGAAATATTCCACACAGTCATTAACAATCTCAGTTCAATCAAGCTTATTAAGATGACATTTAGCCGCCTACATATACACCTGGCAACCATAGTCAAGTCTGGACAAGATAAGGGCCTTGTACAGCAATAACATAGTTGACTTATCAGCACTCGACTTTGCTTTTGAAATACACTTTAATAGATTGATGATCTTGTAACATGTGTTATACAAATGTGTGATGTGGTGAGACCATGTTAATCTTTGATCAAAATACACACCAAGAAATTTGAACACTGACACCATTTCCAGTTTATGGTGTCCAAGAGTTAGATTGATATCATGAGGGATCTTACGTCTTGTGATCATCATTGC